ATTGCAGAGAGGTGTTGACTTGCTTCGGTGTCCAATCTCTATCAACTATTCTATCAGTTTTTGAATGTCGTCAGAGCTTTATATAGAATGATTTGAATAAACTACCTTCCAAACAGCCTCCTAAAAGTTAGTATAAACCCTGCCCAGGTCATAGGGCAAGTTAAAAGGGAAGCCAATAGATATCAAATACTTCTTTTTCAAAGAAGCAAATGTTCTATTCTTTGCTTTTCATACACATAGTTCAAATATTGGATTATTTAGCCCAATTTTCTCTGCAGGGTGTGTTCTCGATATTAAATTGGCACCTAGTTTACGGAAGTGACCAGGAATATCTTTATAAACCAAAGAAGCTTAGAGAAAATGTAGGTAGTGTCACAAACAGCTGTTCCATCCTTCACCTAATCTCCATTTAACAGCAGAAAGAGGGAAAAGTGATAACCAGATTTTGGGGGGGGGGGGCGGCTGTGTATCTAACTGAGGACAGAGAGAAAAGGGATAGTTCCATGGGTGAGGAACCTTCACATATGAAGTTTGGATTCAGTCAAAGGGGCCCCACTTGAGGACCTAGAGAGCTACACATAGCCTTGAGGCTACAGATTCCCCACTCCCTGGAAGCACCGAAGGCACTTGTAAAAGTTTCACAGGTAGTATATATATACACGTGTGTGTATAATTATATGTATGTTTACATACATATAGAGGTATGGATAGATATAAATGATATGGTATAGATATAGATGTCAGGGTAGCTATGGATAGATTTAGATATAGATGTGGTAGCCTGGTATAGTGGTGGAGAACCTGCCTCTTGAATATATCTGGATTCAAATAATGTTGCTAGTACACACTGGCCCCAGAATTATGGGCAAGTCACTTCATCTCTTAAAGTCCTGGAGTAACTCTAATTCCAAACGTTACAGACCCAAGGAATTTCTGATCTGCCCTTAACGTAGGGCCTTTCCATGCTTAGTATTTCGGAAATGCCTGAAATAACAGGTCTAGGCCAAATACTTATTTGTAGCTCCTCTACATCCTTTCCTCAGTCTTTTTTTTTTTTTTTTGGTGGGGGAGGGTTAAATACATATCCTTGTCCCCACTGATTTGTCATCTGTACTATTGAGTCTTCGGGGGTCTTATACTCCAAGGCTCTTTTCTTGGCTTATTAGAGTAAGTCAATTCAACAAGCAGTTATTATTACCAATAAGAAGTCCTTCAGTGGGTACTAAAGGAGAAAAAAAAATAACTTTTAGATAAAATTCAGGGGTCTGCCCTCAAGAACTTAATAATTTAAATAGAAATATTTTTCCAACCCCACCCTACAGATAGGTGGCGGGGAATCTACTTGGGATTTCTTCTTAAATTTGCTTGATGCTCTGATACTTATAAACTAGAGATTGGCTCTTTATGTGAATCTGAAAAACATTCTTTGGGTTCAAATTTACTTCTTTCTTACCTCTTTTTCCCTTTTTTGCACTTCCCAAGCCCTGGGCAGTCTCAGAGGAGACTTTTTGCTCAATCTGAATTCACACCTAGAGAAACCTGAATGGATAAAAGCAGGTGCACGTGAAAAAGAAAGATCTGAATTCTACCAAGAAGTATTTCAGTTGGGATGTGACCAGAAAAACTGTATTATCATTGATTCTCTATAACATGAGGGATACAAAGTGGTTAAACTCGTTGAATATCCACAAAGGAATAGATCCCACATGGTGCGCCTGTTTTGCCAAGGTAAATTCCAGGGTGTTTTGGAAAACACGCGCTCACTCCAGAAGGCAGCGGGAGCTCCCGCAAACAAACCAGGCGGAGCTGGTTCGCTCTTTGGAGCAGGAAAGCATCTGAATTAGAGGACGACGGGCAGGACGGGGGCCGGGCGGGGCGGGTGAAGTGTTTTCCTAGCTTCAGATCTAACGTCCCAGTAGCAGCCAAATGCACCTGGACTGATAAGAGACTTGCCAAGTTTCAATTTTGCCGTTTGCCATTCCCGGACGGCCGACCCCCTGCTGGGGAGCGGGGCGGGAAGCGAGTGCCTGCCCTGAGCCTCAACCGGAGCCTGGCTCTCTCCTGGCGGGAAAGGGAGGGGAAGCTCTCACTTAAAAGCATAATTTGTCCTAAAAAACCTCATTCCCCCCCCCCACACACACACTCATTCCCTTACCAGGGGCTGGGGGCGGAATAATAGCTTACATCCCCATACCCTTCTAATTAAAAAGCGCTTTCTCCCAACCGGGTCAAGCATTGTTATCCCCATTTTATTGATGAGGAAACTGATACCTGAAAAGATGAAATGACTAGCCAAGGATCGCCCAGCTCTTCTCAGAGCTGGAACTTTTCCAACCCCGATAGAGCTCACACTACCTCTGGCTATGAACCTTCTCTGTGGCACTCGCTCTAAGTTGAGGCGAGCTCGAAGCTCCGTTGTGTGGCGGGGTTGGAAGCGAGTGAAGAGTTCTGGACCGCTGATTGGGGGAGTGGGGTTAGGAGACCGGCTTTTGACAGCTCAACCCTACGTGTTACTGACTCCTTACTAGCAACGCAAGGGAGCAATCTCCTTGGAACGTGGGGAACCCTTGTTCCTGGGACAGTCAGGTTGTTCTTTGATTTGACTGTGTCCAGGCACCCAGTTTCCCAAAGGAAAAGTTTCCTTTCCGAAGGGTGACGACAAAGCAATGACAACAGAAGGGGATAAATGAAAGTAACCTGTTCTGGAGCAACTAGACAGAGACGGAAGCAGGAAAAACAAATAGGAGACTGACTGAAAGAGATTTGGAGTCAATCTCTATTCTTAGGCTCGAATCCTGGCTCAGGATCTTTACCTCCTCCTCCGTAAAATAGGCGGGGGGAGGGGTGGACTAGATGATTTCTAAGGTTTTTCCTTGATTTAACATTCTATAATTCAGCATTTATTAAAAGTCTATGTGCCAGTTCCTGTGCTAAGCGCTGGGTACTGTGATGAGAAAGAGGGGAGTGGGAGAGGGAGAGAGGAGAGAGAGGGAGAGAGAGAGAGGGAGGGAGAGAAAGAGGGAAGGAGAAAGGGAGAAAGGGAGAGGGAGAGAGGGGGAAAGGGGGGGAGAGAGAGAGAGAGAGAAAGAGAGAGAGAGAGAGAGAGAGAGAGAGAGAGAGAGAGAGAGAGAGCAGGAAGGATACAAAGAAAGGAAGTGAAAGAGATATTTTTAAAAGGGAGGAAGATGAGCAGAGACAGAAGCTAAAGTGATAAAGCCGCCTAACACACAGTAGGCAGTCAATAAATATTTGAACAGTGAGTGTTGTCCCTGCCCCACCTGCACAGCCAGGCGTTTCTGAACCAGGTCCAAGTTAATGAGTCGACAGCCCAGAGAGCCCTCGCCTCGGGTGCACCGGGAAGCTACTCTACCACAGCTGCGGCGGGAATCCTGAGGCTGCCGCTGAGCCTAGCTAGTTGGGGAGGGCGAGGGTTTGGAGGACATCCCAACCATCCCACAGCCACCGCAAATCTTGCTCCGGGCGCAAGTGACTCACTCCAAGGTGATTCCTCTGACGCATCCTCGATCCAGCTGGCCTTTCCATTCACACCTTAGAAGCAAGGGACATGAAAAGAGGTCTGGAAAGCGGCCGCCACAAGACGGCTGGCCACTCTCCTGGAGGGGTCAGGAGTGGCCCAGGCTCCCAGAGCTCTGAACCACAGAGGCACCTGGTCAACCAGAGGGCTCGGAAGCCTTGATGGGCAGGCAGCTAGAGACAGGAGGTGAGGAGTCGGGGACGCCTATCTAAAGCACCTGCAGAAGATAGAAATAAAGCCAAGTGACGAACTGGAGCACACAAGTATATAAATAGTACTGTAGAATTCACAGGCAAGAGGAGTATGTCAGTATTAATATCACTACCATTTTCCAGAAGAGGAAAGTAGGGAGTCAGAGAGGCGAATGACTTGTCTAAGGTCACAGGGCTGGGAAGTCTTCCTTTCCATTATATCACGAGGCAATCTTTAAAGGTTTTATAAAGAGAGACTTACAGTGGTCTGCAAAACTACTCAACTCCCTGGCGACGATCTTCGAGCCCTCACAGAGACGCAGCCCCAGCCGCAGCCCACCGGGAGAGGCTCTCGACCAGGCAACGGCGTATTCGCTTTGCTGCCCTTCTCGTCCTTACCTCAAGGGGAAGGCTTTGGGTTCCAACAGAAGTCAGGAGTTTCTTGGCCAGAGGCCAACCAGTTCCTTTCTAAACAATAACACCACAAATTTAACACATCTCGCTCTTGGATTTACACATCGGAGTGAAATATCTGAAATTTCAACAAATTCTCCCCTTAGAAAAATCCCCTGCCCAAGTTTTCCTGATCTCGTGCCCATTGCCATACCCATCTGGTCTTTTCCAGAACTCCGGTGTCTCAGACTTGATGTCTGGCAAACCTCCCTCACTCCCACCCCCTCCCCTCATTACCACGCCTGAGGCCGAGTTCAAGTGCTTCTCCAGACAGCTCCTTCCTAGAACAGGAGCCTTGCAGGTGAGATGAGAGGGAGACTCAAGGAGAGTTCCAGCGGCCTTGAATCCTCGATTTCTGTGGGCTAGCCAAGTCACCTGGGCTGGGGGCTAGGATCTCGCCGGGGCATCAGCGTAGGCAGGGGCTCCAAAAGGAGATGATTTGGTGGGGGAGAGAGTTGGCACGCGCAGGCCCCTCCCCCTGCCATCAGTGATAATTTTTGCAGCCTGGGTGCTGTGGAAGCACTGGGTGAACGTCCCCTTGCTGCCTACCGTACCCTAACCCAGAGGATAGCCTTACACGGGGAGGGGGGGGCTGAGGCAGGAAACGTTATGAGTGTTGGCGCCCTCGACGCAGGGCGCAAAAGGAAGAGAGGGAAATGATTGCACTAACAGCAGCAGCAGCAGCGCCCGCGGCGGCCGCAGTGGAACCCCCAGCAAGCCCCGCCCCCGCTGAGCTCCTATAAAAGTAGGAGGCAAGCGCAGGACACTTCAGAGGTTTAACTGGGGACCTAAAGACTTCCTGCTGCTCCTGCGCCTTCTCTCCGCTTCCTACCTCCGCCTCTTAATAGCACTTCGGTCGCCGGGGTTGGGACTCTTTGACTCTCTCATTGGATTACCTTCAGCAGCAGGTAAGGGTGGACCCTCCGGCTTGGAGTGGTGGCAGTGGAGGTCGGGTAGGGAGAATGGGCTTTAGTTATCTCCAAAGTCACTGATCAGAAAACTCAGGTCCCTGCACCGACTTTCCTTGTGCCTCTTCCAGATAACCCTGCCGAGGCTGCTGGAGCCGAGATTTGGGCAGGAGGGCGGGGGTGGGAGGTGAGGGGAAGAGGGTTAGAATGGAAAGGGGGGGCGGGGGGAGATTGAATCTTTGCTTAGTCCAAGCCATGCCTTGCGAATGAGCTCGGAGCTACTCTGAGCTCGGGATCCCTCCCAAGGGATCTCCCTCTTCTATCCCATAAGAATAAGCTCCTAGAAAAGTTTCAAAGTGAGTCCCAAGCTCAGAATTTAAGGAGTCCTGCCTGACGGAGTGAGGGAACCTTCCCCCCCAACCCCCTCCCTACTCAGCTTGTCAGTTCAGCCGGCCGACGGATGCAAAGCCTGCAGGCGCCTTTATCTGCCCTGGCGCGATAAGCGATTGAGCAAACAGGGGCCGGGACTTGGTTAGGACACTAATGGGGCCACTGGTCTGCTGCGCTCAGCCAGCTGGGGCTGAACTAGACTGCTTCGGGGTCAGGGAAGGGGCTAGGGCCGCAGCCAGGACTAGAGCCAGACACTTACTTTTTCGGTTCTCTCTTTCATCCAGGGTGACCAGATCGGCGCCGGAATGCAGCTGGTGCCAGTCGCCCTAATTTACCTGGGCTCCTTCGCCTTCCTGGGGGCGGACACTGCGCGGCTCGATTTGGCTTCAGAGTTCAGAAAGAAGTAAGTCGCGACAATGTTCTCTAGTCAAGTTGGGTTCAGGAGATAAAAGACACTCTGGAGGGAGGAATCCTCCTTTAACTCTGGGTACAGGAGAAAAGTGTACGGTGTCGATGCTACCACTCACCAAGGGGAATGGGCGCTGGCATTCGTTCCATATAGTGCTAATGGCGTCGCTGTTGGTTACTTTTCAGATGGAACAAATGGGCTCTGAGCCGGGGAAAGAGGGAATTGCGTGTGCCGGACAATCCCCTCGCTAGCCCAGCCGAAGTGAAGGCTGGTCCTATCCAGACATTTATTCGGACCCAGGACGTGAAGGGTGCTTCCCGCAGCCCACAGCCCAGGTAACTTTGTGGGTCCCTCCTGGGGAATCCTTTTCCTCTCCGAAGTTGCTGCTCCCCGCCCTTCCCCCCGCGGTGCCAACTCGGGTCCGGAACTGAGGAAGGGCTTGGACTAAGAAAGGTGCCTCGACGGAGCAACATAGAATCCCTGTTCCCAGCCCAGGCTCCCCTGGTTAGGCTAAGATTCCGGTCTAATTCGGCGCAGGCCGGTAGCCAGGTCCTAGGGGCCCTTCGAGTTATCTAACTCCTTTCCGTCCCTCCTGTCCCGCAGCAGTCCGGACGCAGCCCGCATACGCGTCAAGCGCTACCGCCAGAGTATGAATAGTTTCCCGCACTTCCAGAGCTTGCGCATCGGCTGCCGTTTTGGGACATGCACCCTGCAGAACTTGGCGCACCAGATCTACCAGCTCACGGACAAAGATAAGGACAATTCGGCGCCCCCTAACAAAATCAGCCCCCAGGGCTACGGGCGCCGGCGTAGGCGCTCTCTTGCGGAGGGCTTTCCAGTTCGGACTCTCTCCTACTTTTCATTCTCCTCCTCCTCCTCCTCTTCCTCCTCCTCCTCCTCCGAACGGCTACAGCAGCAGTAGCGGCAGCCGCGCCTCTGGCAGCTCAGCGAGGCAGCCTGCGTTGCGAGCCGATTGCGCCCGGCGCCACTTCGAGGGGCCGCCTTCCTCTGGACGTAGGGGGCGGTAGCCGCGGCGAAACCACAGCACTGCACCCAATGGGCGCCGGCCGGCCGGCCTCCGTGCTAGCAGGGAGGGGGTCAGTCCTGCGGGATGGAGAACTCGAACGCAGGAGGCGTTAGGTCCACTACAGGAGCTCCCGCAGTCTTCCTCATCCCTATTGTTGGAGAGGAAAGTGTCCTCTCCAAGTGGGCACTGACCGCGGTCGCATTTTGCCTTCACGCCCTTTGCTTCTCCGGGAACCTAACCCTCATCCAAGCTGCGAGGACCCAGGCCGGGCCTAGGGTCCCTTGGGGAATCATTCAGAGAATGCTAGGGTTGGGAGAAAGATGCCTGGGACTTGCGCCGTGTGAAGAATGAAGATCTAGGGAACTTGGATTTACCGAACGGGCCCAAACTGAGAGTCTGCGGGCTTCTCCCCGCTGTCGGGTGGGAATCTCGGAACTACTTGATCTTTTCATAACAGAGGAAAAGTGCAATGGTGGCTTTTAAAAATGCGTTTTCATAGAGAGGTAACTATCTGATATTTATCTTGCTGTCAGGTGTTTTTTTTTTTTTGTAAATTCAGAGTTATTTTTGTACGTTATATATTGTATTATATTGTATAAGGGCATTTTAAAATAGTGTGTATCTCCCTCCCCTTGTGTTAATTTTAATATGAGAATGTCACAGCAGATTGGTCTCAGCCTGGTATAACCCTCTCACCGCCATGTTGAGGGTGTGTGTGAAATGAGCGAGTGTGTTAAGAGAGAAAGTGTGAGTGTATGACATTCCGTCCTGGTGGAAAAAGAAAATTCCACGTCTCTGTATATTATATTTTCTTAAAAGGGGTGGTGATATGGCGAATAGCAAAACTAATAAACAGTTACAATACTGACGTACGTGGTTCTGGACTCAATTGTCTTTCGAGAGAGCTGAACTCTAATGGGTGCTAGTGGAGGGGTTTAAGTGGAGATCCTCTTCCCAACTCCCACTTCCCTTGACTAGGTAGAAATCTTTTTCCTGATACAATTCCTTGGCTTTCTCGGGGTTTGGCCCTGAGTTGTTGCGAGAATCAAGTGACACGCTGCCCCACAAGCCTCATTCTTCCCAACCAGAAATCATAATGGCTTATAGGATCACAAGGTCAAGGATCAATCCGGGGCGCCCTCTCTTCTCCTCACCCTTCCCACTCCCCGGCACGTGCTCCTCCCGAAGTCGCCCAAGGTCACCCCTTGTCACAACTTGGACTGCTGGGGTGGGGTGTGCTGCTGCGCGGCAAGTCTCTGGGGAGAGGCCAGGCGCGAAGTCGACTCACCGTTACGCAACAGAACCCTGGATTTAGGGACCTAGTCTTTCCAGGGCCAAGAGAAATGACCTAGAGAGAGGGGACAGAGGTTTTCAAGGGTCCCTAAGTGAGGGGTTTTCCCGGGCCGGGGGTCACAGCAAAAATTAGAAGGCTCTGTGCTCCTCTTTCGCGCACCTCCGGGAAAGCGCAGCTGGAAAAGACAACATCCCCCACCAACCGGCCGCAGCCAAGTACGGGGAGGCTTGGCTTGGATAGGGCTGCAGCGCCCCCTGCGGGTGGCCGCGGGACGGATACCTCAGCCCGAGCCGTCATGAGGTACGTGCGGTTTGATCCAGCCTCGTACGTGGGAGTCAGCACACAACTTTAACCAGGAAAAGAAAAGAGGAAAAAAGTTCACGGATGCCAACCAAGGCCGGCTTCCCCAAGCGTTGTGCGGTAGCTCCCGACGCTAGGACAGTGACTCAGCGCCCTCACGCTGTGCTGAGCAGCTGCTTCGGTCGGCCAGGGGCGGGAGGGTATGGGACAGGATGGGACGTGTCTGGGAGCAGAGCGGGGTCCTCCAGAAACACCTGGCCGTCACTGGCCTCCCCGCCCCCCCCCCATATCTTGCCTCCTCTCTCATTGTCTACTCCACTGCCTTCCTCCTCCTCTTCCCTCTCTTTCCGTCTCCGCTTCCTCCTTTCTTCTTTCCTCTTTCTCTCTCCCTCTCGCCCTGTTCCTTTTTTCATCTTTTTATTTTCCTTCGGGACTTTAACTTCAAAGTGCTGCCTGAGTCTCCAGGGTGGAAGCAGGGCTTCGGTTCGATATTATGTGACCGGGCATGGGGGATCGAGGGAAAATTTAAGGAGTCTTGGAGGAGAAAGTCGCCGAGCTCCTGCCCCTGCCCCTGCCCGTGGTGGAGGAAGTGGGTGGGTAAGGGGAACCAATAACCCCCGACCTGGGGGATCCCAGGTCCCGGGCCCGCACCCAGCCACCTTCACCCTCAGGACCCTGCCTTATCCCTGCGCAGAACTACCACACCGATCTTGAGAGCTTTCCCTGCCTTTCACTCGTGGCCCGAAACTTGAATTCGTCTTAAAGATTCTCAGAAACCTTTAGAGGTTGGTAAAGAAAAGAAAAATAACCTTTAGGTAACAAGGGATAAAGGAAGGCGCGCTCTGGAAATAGGAACGTTTCCCTTTGGCGGCTGCACTATCCCCTGGATCTTGCGGTCAGTGGCCCCTGCCAAGATCCCATCCCCTTTTTTCTGTCTCTCTCCGGGTCTCTTTCTCACCTTCTCACTCAGGCTGATAATTGGTGAGACTGGAACAACTGGATGTCTAGTTGGGAGGGCATGGGAGGTGGGAAAGCAGAGCCTAGTACCCGGAAGGCACTGGATACCAAGGGACTCAGCTCTGCATTTGGAATCAGAGGATCTGGATTCAAATCCCAGCTCTGCCTTGTGTGACCTTGGTGAACTCGGGCCCGTCAATTAACCTCTGTAAGGCTCCGTTTCCTCATCTGTAAGAATGACTTTAAGATCCCCTTCCAGCTTTGAAGCTATGATCTTGTCACAATGGAGGGGAATAGATTTAGGTCTTTTTTGCCTCGGCCCCTATTAGTCAAATTAATTTACTAGCTCTTTATGGATCCTGTGAATCAAAGATGCTCCTGCTGTGGTAGGGCATGGCAGGGTCCTTAAAAGTCTGGGTCTAAAGCAGATGATCGATGAACCAGAGGTGGGGGAGTAGAAAATGCTGGATTTAGAGTCAGAGAGCTTTGTGTAATGGGTCACCAAGGCCTGGGATTGTTGTTTAGTTGCTTTCAGGTGTTCCCCACTCTTCCAGCCGTTAGGTAGTGCAGTGGATAGAGCAAGTGTGGAGTCAGGAGGACCCGAGTTCGAATTTGGCCCCAGACACTTATTAGTTTGTATGACCTTGGGCAAGTCACTTAACCCTGTTTGCCTCAGTTTCCTCATGTGTAAAATGAGCTGGAGAAGGAAATGGCAAACCACTCCAATATCTCCACCAAGAAAACCTCCAAAGGAGTCATAGACGTGACTAAAAAACAAAAACAAGACCTAAGGGCAACGTCTCAAAGGACTGGCAAGGATTCTTCCCTACTGCTTTGACCTGAAGACCTTGGCCTGGTAGGATTCCTGGTTGTACTCCTTCCTTCCTATTGTCCTTCTCCTGTTGCCCCAGCTTCCACTCCATGCCCCAGCCCCAGACATCTTAAGCATCTTTTGTTCAATGGAGTAAACTGCTCCAAATAAATCCCTTATTGCTGTCAGAATTAACTAGCTCAGCTCATATTTAAGTCCTAATAACAGACCACTAATATGAAGGGACGTACTTGCAGATTAAAACATACTACTGATTGCTAATAATATTTTATTTCTCTTGTTATATTTCTAAGGCACTTTTGTGGAGAGGCAGTATATAATAGTGTGGTAGAGTGGAAATAGCACTGAATTTATAATCAAACTTAGGTTAATGCCACTTAACACCTGTGGGACCTTGGACAAGTCATTACCAATGTCTGGGCCTTTGTTTTTCTCGTCTTTAAAAATGATCTGTTTTGATTAGATGATCTCTAAGTTCTCTTTCTTTCTAAAATCCTGTAATTTCTTTTAATCCTAACAATGAGGTTATAGTGTAAGGTTAGCTCATTTTGCACCCTCCCTGTTAGGCTTTAATCGTAACTCAACTCAAAAGTCTGAATGGCTGAGGCAAGGAGTATCATTGTTTTCATTCAGTTCATCTGCAGGGGCTAAAGCCATGGTCTAAACTGCAGTGTGGAGCCTTAGAGTAAAAAAATGCCTGGGGATGTCAAGGCCACCTGGGTAAGAATCTGGAAAATGCTTTATGATTTCCTATGGGAATGAGAGAAAGCCTCCTTGAAATTGTTCTTTCATTTCTTCGTTTACCTAAGGAGTATCCATTGCTTCTGAGCTCAAGGCATTGTGCGGTTCACCCTTTGCACAGCACGTTTAAACCAAAGGCAGCCAGCGGGTCCTTGTCTGAAGCAGACGTCATAAATCAGGAGTCATTTTACTTTCCCTCAGTTGAGCACCCTGCCTGAGCTCTCACTTTGGTTTGGATGACCAAATATAGTTAGCACATACACTAAAGACTTCCAGGCTTGGCAGGGGAGGGAACAGCCTCTCTTAGAGTTTGTCTAAGGCACAATTCCTTGCTGCTAGCGTTGGCTCCGGAGAACCTACAAAGGCACACAGACACAAGAGTGCCGGGCCTTGGGACAGGGCCATTTGTTTTCATAGATTTAGAGCTAGAAGGAACTTTGACATGGATCCAAATAACCATAATATTAGTATGATGTATAATCTAGCAAACCTCGTTTTCTACATGAGGAAAGTGAGGCTCAGAGAAGTGCAGTGAGTTGGCTGGGAAGAGCAGAACCTAGGTTGCTTGACCGTCGTTCCCGCCCTCTCTGATAGGTTGGGGCAGCCCCCATTCAATCTCACTTTAGGGAAATGATCGTCTCTCCCTCATAGGCTCATTGATCCAGGGCTAGAAGGGGCCTCCGAGACTACTTTGTCTAACTCTCTTCTTTTACAATAGGGAACCTGAGGCTTGGGACATTAAGTGACTTCTCCAAGGTCACTAAGTCCCGAGGGAAAATCATCTGGAGATAAGGGGTGGGGAAGAAGAGCCTTATGTCCATCCAGAGGTAGATTCATAGATTCTCAGAACTAGAAGGGATCTCAGAAATGATCAGGCCCCACCTTGAACTCCAGGTGCACCCAACAGGTGTTCACCTAGCCTCTACCTGAATATATGCAAAGACAAGGTGCTCATTACTTTACAAGCTAAGTCCATTCCATTTGGGGGCAACTTTGGTTGTTAGACAATTCTTCCATGGATTAAGCTGGAATTGGTCTCCACCTGCTGGTCTTGTGGAAGCATCTTGTTGGTTATCCAGCTGACAGAGGCTAGGAGTGTATGGGCAGAGCCGGGTAACTATGGTTGGGCAACCAGAGTTTTGCCTCAGGGTGCTGAATTTGGAAGACACTGACAGCACATGCAGTCTTTAAGCAGTTACAGCACCTAGTGAGAACAATTCTTTAAATTAGGAAAATATCTATTGGCAAATGGGTGAGTTCCTCGTCCATGGTGCTTTGCTCTCCACCTGCTTCTGTGGCAGCCTCCGGCGCAATGACCTTGCACTGGTGCGCTGGGCTCCTAAGATCTCTGTCTCCCCCCTCTCTAAGCTGGTGTTTTGCCCCTTCCTCCTTCCAAATAAGGGCATGCTTCCTGCCATTTGCCCTTGGCAGCATTTATGCTATGGGTACAAAAATTCTTAGTTTGGGCTCAGTGTGAGAAACAGTCTGATTGGGGAAATGTTTATCAGATCCTAAGTTCAGAAGTAGAAGAGACCTCCCCTTACTTTACAGATCTGGAAACTGAGGCCCAAAGAGGTGAAGCCACACAGAGGTAGGACATGAGCCATCTGAGCCTGCCCAGTCCCTTTGTAAATGAGCAACATAGTCATCCCTTACTCGCATGAACAGTTTACACATTTTTTCCTCTAGGGCCCAGATTAATAGGCTTAGAGTTTCCACATTTCATATACACAAATCCACAGTT